ATAGAGAGAAGGCTTGAGCTCAGAGTAAGCTCAGACCTCGTCGCTATGGATGATGTCAGCATGCTTACGAACTATGCACACAGTGATTGGCTGATAGTCTCTGTCAGAGATTTATTCATAGAAATATTGAAGAGCGTGATATCATATTCAAATGAAGGTTTAAAAATGTTGTCACATTCAAATAAAGATTTTAAAATGCAGGCTAATTAAACAAGTATGTGTTCAGCTAATTGTCAGCCTCTTACATGTGTGCTTACATCTCTGAGTGTAACCGGTGTTAACTAGTAGGTGTGTTCGACTTGACGCGGACCGACTGTGCAGACCGATCGGTGTATTACAGTACCACGAGAGCTAAAGAGAGCAGACTGCTCTGTGCGCTTTCGAGTCACTCTCGCGGATGATCGATCTGCGCCGCACCACTTCTAGTCGAACACACCGGCTAGTGCTGCAGGCTTATTGGCTCACTGACGCTGACGAGATTAACCCCTTAGGTATCGAAATTTGGTACTGAACGACGAGACGTTTTTCGATACTCGATTGTATCGAGGCAATTCGGTCGGTGCCTAAAAAGTATCGAACTCGATACCCAGCCCTAGTCAGAATCCACTCAGCCAGGGGCGGCGTTTCTGTATGGCAGTTGCCATACCCTAGCTCAGTCATGTGTGCCGTGAAGAATTCTCCAAACTTCACATCTCTATTATAATTCGTTATTATTAAATAATACAAATCTGAGGGTTTTACAAATATTTAACCAATGCTAAGTATTACAAAGGGCTTGTCAGTAAAACTTCGTAACGCTATTGGATCCTCAAGCTCTCAGCGAAACCTCGTAACGTCACCTAGCCTCCATTCATATTGCCGCGCCGCGCACAGCCTGGAGACCGATCTCTGCTTTTTGCAATGCAAGGGTAAATAAATAACTGATGTTTGAATAGTAAAGCGTTTTCTTCAAACACTATGTCTGTAAAAGGCTAATGCTTTTGTGTGTTTGAAGAGCAGAAAAGTAGGTTATTTACCGTCTAGCCAATAGCCTATAATTTTGTAGGCCTACATTTTACATATCCTGTTAAAAATGATAATAACCTGTTTTGGTTATATTTACTATTAATTGCAGAAGGTGCACTCAGCAAAAATGGCGCGAATATTGATGGTTTTCACGCTTAAGTCAAGTATAAGACACCGCAGTAAAGATAGTTTGCGTTTTGATATTCAGATTTCTTTTGGCTATAAATACACAGTGCGCTGTCATAGACATGAAAATAAAACCAAGTGTCGTTCTCCATGATTTGTGAATTCAGGTGACGCTGTCCTCCTGGCCGAAACAGTTTTTTTTTCGTTGCGACTCTCAATTTTATGCCTATAGCTCCAAAAGTTGGACACTTCGAGGATTGAAACCGGTGTCAATTTCACCAGCTCGATTTGTAAATTTTTTCACAGCAAAGCTCTTGTTCTTAAACCCCTTGGTAAGTCCGCTATAAGGAATGTGAAAAATAGGCGTTCTTTATGTTTAACGTCTATTACCAATAAACACGCAGACTGCTCGAATACAAAAACATTGTTTTTAGGTCAAACTCGATTTGTGAAAACTCTCCCAAACGCAGTTTATCGCGTGTCTTTGTTTCTCTTTGCACTGCTCTTTTTTTCTTCTGTCATAATGTCATACGTTTTGGGTCAGCTGACCATTCCCTGAGTCACTAACATCACTATTCTGATCTGTGAAAACTTTCACAGGTCAGTTTGCGTCAGCTGACCCTTCCCTGCCTCATCTACATCACTATTCTGATCTGTGAAAACTTTTACAGTTCAGTTTGGGTCAGCTGACCCTTCCCTGGGTCATGCACATCACTATTCTGATTTGTGAAAACTTTCACAGGTCAGTTTGCGTCAGCTGACCCTTCCCTGCCTCATCTACATCACTATTCTGATCTGTGAAAACTTTCAGAGGTAAGTACGAGTCAGCTGACTCTTCCCTGGGTCATGCACATCACTATTCTGATTTGTGAAAACTTTCACAGGTCAGTTTGCGTCAGCTGACCCTTCCCTGCCTCATCTACATCACTATTCTGATCTGTGAAAACTTTCAGAGGTAAGTACGAGTCAGCTGACTCTTCCCTGGGTCATGCACATCACTATTCTGATTTGTGAAAACTTTCACAGGTCAGTTTGCGTCAGCTGACCCTTCCCTGCCTCATCTACATCACTATTCTGATCTGTGAAAACTTTCAGAGGTAAGTACGAGTCAGCTGACTCTTCCCTGGGTCATGCACATCACTATTCTGATTTGTGAAAACTTTCACAGGTCAGTTTGCGTCAGCTGACCCTTCCCTGCCTCATCTACATCACTATTCTGATCTGTGAAAACTTTCAGAGGTAAGTACGAGTCAGCTGACTCTTCCCTGGGTCATGCACATCACTATTCTGATTTGTGAAAACTTTCACAGGTCAGTTTGCGTCAGCTGACCCTTCCCTGCCTCATCTACATCACTATTCTGATCTGTGAAAACTTTCAGAGGTAAGTACGAGTCAGCTGACTCTTCCCTGGGTCATGCACATCACTATTCTGATTTGTGAAAACTTTCACAGGTCAGTTTGCGTCAGCTGACCCTTCCCTGCCTCATCTACATCACTATTCTGATCTGTGAAAACTTTCAGAGGTAAGTACGAGTCAGCTGACTCTTCCCTGGGTCATGCACATCACTATTCTGATTTGTGAAAACTTTCACAGGTCAGTTTGCGTCAGCTGACCCTTCCCTGCCTCATCTACATCACTATTCTGATCTGTGAAAACTTTTACAGTTCAGTTTACAGTTCACAGATCAGAATAGTGATGTAGATGAGGCAGGGAAGGGTCAGCTGACCCGTAGTGAGCTGTGAAAGTTTTCACAGATCAGAATAGTGATGTTAGTGACTCACGGAAGGGTCAGCTAACCCGTAAGGAACTGTGAAAGTTTTCACAGATCAGAATAGTGATGTTTGTATGTGCTCATTTACCTAATGAATTGGAAACCGTTATTCACAGGAACAGCACTGAATGACATTATTATAGGCTACAAAAACGGGGGGCAGAGCAAAGATAAACACTGCCACACGATATACTATGCGATTGTGAAAGTTTTCACAAATCGAGCTCGACCTAAAACAATGTTTTTGTATTCCAGCAGTCTGCGTGTTTATTGGTAACAGACGTTAAACATGAGGAACGCTTATCTTTCACATTCCTTCCCTTACGAAAAAGAAGTTTATTCAAGTGTGCTATTAGTATACTTCATTTAAACAAAAAGTAGACTAAAAGTATACTTTCCTATTTTTAATGTACTTCTCAGAAATGGGCTTTATGTACTTCTCAGAAATATACTTAAAATGACATTTAAGTATACAGGTACAAGGTGTATAGATATAAGCAAAACAGACAATTATATTTTATTGTAAAACCTGACAAGATCGTGAAATCGAAAGTGAAAGCATCCGAAGCCCGGCTTATAACATGGCAAAAGAGAAACTCCCGTTCACAAAATTCAAATCACAAATAATACTACTGATGAAAAAGAACGGGTTGAATGTTAACTACTTTCGTTTCCATATAACTATAAACTACGATAAAAGTTCATCAGCATGCATTGATTAATAGCATGTTGTAGCACAAAAATAATAATAATAATAAAAATAAAAAACCGTGCTCGTGCAACCAACTGAGAAAGTTTATCGCAAAAGAGCGACCAGTGGGAAGAATGAGTCTGGAGCGCTGAATTGCCCAGCTCCCTCTGTCACTCAGCACCTGTGTTCAAAATTCTCTGGTGCCGCCCCTGGTACATTGATGTATTTTTGAAAAGCAAAAATTAAGTTTGTCCAACTCTAAACCCAGTCCCCAAATAAATTAGGTTATTAAATAAAAAACTAGCAAAACGAGTTGCGCGGTGTCCCCACACCACTTTTCAAAGCAAAGTTACGCCACTGCCTGTGCATAAGCGCTTAATCGTTTATATCATGAGAATTTGGCCAAGTGTAGGCCTTAAACAACAATAAAAACTAAGCGCCCATATAGCAACAATAATTTAAAGTTATATAACCTGTAAAAGTTGATGAAAGCTTATAATGCGATGCACTTGCCTCAGATGCGGCTGTTCTATTGACAGACAAAACACAGATCTCCTCATTCGCCGGCCAAAAACCTTGTTAACTCCATTTGAGCTTGTTTTTCATATAGCCTGTTAAGTGCAAGTGTCTGATACAATACCAACACTGACAACGCAGTTGTAAACTGTCGTTGAATTATTTACTTTTTTTTTTTAGCTTTCTTTCTTTTTCGTTATTCACAATTTGAATAAAGGTTTTGGGAGTAACTTTTATTAATCAAGCTTCTTAAAAATATTGATACCATAGCAACGGATAGGATGAAAAGCATAAAAAAGTGCAGTGGTCTTGTTAATTAATCAATTTGTCTGCATTTACACTGCAGTTTGAAAGTTACATGTTAACAATACTTATTATTAGCACGAAAATAAAATTAATGCGTTAAAGGGGGTTTTTGCTGTAGTACTGCAATTGGTACGGAACTAATTATGTAAAACTATATTACCAGTGCACCAGATTTCTTATCCTGTAGGTCCCTCTAGTGGACAACTTTACTATTACAGCCTTCACCTTTTAGTTGAAATGAAATTACAATAATGAGAATTATTACAGTGACTTTTTTTGTTTTACCTTTGTCTTAATGGCCTAAAAATATGCTTCCTTTTCTTTAAAAAAAAGTTTTAAATCTTTTTCATTCTTTGATTTGAGAACTGCAAATTTTTTGACGTTCACCTTCATACATAATAAAAATACCAAAGACGCACATTTTATAGTTCATTTAAAAGTTAAAAGTTCTCCAGTGTGTACTGTGCAGTGATTTAGATATGTTAAGCAGCTATTTCCACGGACCAATCAGCTTCCAGAGCCGGAACTCTTCATTTTATAATACAATGTGAATGCAAAATCAATCCTTTTTAATTGTCACCTACCTCCTGTAAAGCCATTAGAGCATATCCCTGCCACATCATGTGTTCTCGACTAAATGTCTGGCACACCTCTCGAACCTGTCAGGAGGAAAAAATGATGTTTACATCAATAAAACAGCTTGCTCATGTTTCAAATGATTAAGTGTCAAAGGCTTGTCTGAAGTGGTTATTGAAGGATGCACAGAAGCAGTAGTACCAGCCGTGAAAACGGGGCCTTGCGCAGCAACAGATCAGTAGACTTCTGATATCTGCGTATCTCCATGAGAGCTCGAGTGCCAGGGCGAAACCTGTGTTTCTTGCGTGGGGACGCTTCTAGAACAGAAAGCACATAAACGGTAGACATTTAGCTAATGCTTTGGCATACAGTTCACTTTGTACATGTTCAGTTTACCTGAAGAGTATTCCAGAAACAGTAGGGTTAATATAACCATCCCATTAGACATTCTAAACAGAGCTCTGAATCTGTGAGTTACTATGAAAACAGATGCTAAAAAGATTTAGGGTAGTGAGGGGAAATCGCCCCCCTACTGTTTTTCCCAAAATAACCACTAGAAAAACAAGATACATTTTTGTAGTAACTATGGACTATGTTGACAAGAGTGATGCAGAAGTATTGGCTTATATAAGCTTACACTGGTGATGTACCTGAGAGAAAACGGGTTTCACGGTAAGTGATCTAATTTTCAGCAGTAAGAAAAAAAGCCTGTTGTTTTTTAGAACATCGCAGTTATATATGATATGAGAATATATGATATGGGAGTATGCGTTATTTAAGAAAAATATAATTATGTTTTCAAAATGATATTTTTTTCCAAACCTAGTCTGTTAAACAGGGGGCATTAATTAATTACTATAGTTAGCCTGTTCTGAACATCAAATCCTTTGTTTTCCATCAGATGTATTCTAAACATACACGGGGCAACTTTTAGAGCAATGTTACCATCAACGGGCAACCAGGGGCCTGTTTCATAAAACAAGTTTACCAAATAAGCCACGCTTATTTCAGTTAGTCTGACTTATTTTGAACCAAATCAACTGACAATAAGTCAGACTTATACCCGATTCAGACTACATGATTTTAGCCCGATTTTGCCCCGATTTGCTTGACGTAGGGTGTTGTGGGGATTCGTAAACGACAATGGGCATCGGGACGCAAGATTCCATCGTTTCAGCACGTGTAGTGTATCGTGGACGACAACCGATTCCACGTCTGCGATGCTTCACGACATCACGACAGAAAGACTAGCATGTTTAATTTCTTTATGTGTCATCGAGGGACTACCACGACAGAACAAAGAAAGAAAAATGCTGGCGAACTATAGCGGAAGCGCTTCAGCAATGTTTACACTTGTTTTTGGAAGTCAGTCGCTAGTTCCGCCTTCTCGATGACATCACGCGCGTCGTTAAAGACGGCACGCGATGAATGGTCAGGAAGCAACGTGTAGTCTGACATGTTTCTTGTCCACGACACGACAAGATTTTAGGAGTCAAAATCCTGTAATCTGACACAGTGACTATCGTGACCGACAAAAATATTGTGTAGTCTGAACCCGGCATAACTGAAATAAACCTGACTTACTTGGTAAACTTGTTTCATGAAACAGGCCCCAGGTGAGAGACAGGGCCCACGACCGATTTAAAGTATCCAGACAGAAATTTGTTACCCATTCTCAATGGAAAAGTGCCCAAGCAACATTGCTCAAAAAAAGTTGCCCCGTGTATAATCAGCCTAACTAGTTGATAGAATAAAAATATTTGTACTTTATATTTAAAAGATACCTCAAATTAGCATCAGCTTAGGTAGCCAGATAGCATCAGCTAACAAAATGTTGTAATTCATAATTACAGATTATATTCTTCTAAATCCTAAAATAAAACTGCCTGTACTCTGATTTGCTGTAAATGCTATAATGTATTAAGCAAATTGCTTTGTAAGACTGGGTACAAATGTAATTTTTGTTAAAAATCTAATAACATGAAAACTCTGGACATTTTTCATACTTGGTTTATTGTCACTAAAACTATGATAACTTTTCTGAACACATTTAATTTTGTTTCACATAAAAAAATGACAGTTTGTAAGGGGGGGCGTTTTCCCCCCGATGACGATGCTAATTATGTCTTTAACCACTACGTCACCCACCTGACCCATAAACCACATGAAAACATTTAGTAAGTGATATTCCCTGGAAGAAAGTTTTTACTAACAAAATGAGAGAAATTACATTTAAGTTGACTCATAGATTTTACCCGGATAAGAATTATATTAATAATACCAACTGTTCTTTCTGTTTAGAAAACCCTGAAACCTCTTTACATTTATTCTGGAATTGCTCTTACACAACATCATTTTGGTGTGACATTCTTGATTTTATCCAATGTTATGTCAATCCTAATTTTGAGTTTACTTATACAAGTGTAATTTTTGGTTTTCATGAATGTGAAAAAAAGGTGATACTTATTTCATAAATCTTATTTTCCTGTTAGCTAAATATCATATTCATATATGTGACCCTGGAGCACAAAACCAGTCATAAGTAGCACAGGTATATTTGTTGTAGCAATAGCCAACAATACACTGTACGAGTCAAAATTATTGATTTTTGTTTTATGCCAAAAACCATTAGGATATTAAGTAAAGATCATGTTCCACGAAGATATAAATAGGCCTGTCGCAATAATCAACATATCGACTTATCGCGCAATATATGTACATGACCTCAATCATTTTTGGTGACGCAATATATCGCCCATTATATTTACTTAAAAATTAATGTCACCATGTTTTGTACATTCCACTTGCGCCTGTGTCATTCGCAGCTTCTCGTACATAACGTGGTGTAGTCATGAGGTGCTAGTTCAAATTTAAAAAATGCTTCTACAAAAAAAAGTTTCATCTGCAGATATGGTCTTGTTTAGAGAGCTGTGCCTTTGTGCATACAGGCATCTGACTGCTAAGTAGGGATTGTGTTTTTCAGCAATAGTGTGCACCCTTAATTTACAGAGAAAAGAAGGTCAGGGAAAAATCTGCAGATGGAAAAATCTCCATACAAGTTATTTGTGCATTTTTTTTTCTACTTGTTTCTTTGCACTTTTTGTTAGAAAATGTTTATTTACTATTTATTCAGGTTTT